TCAAACAAAATAAATAAATAACATACCAGATTTATTTATCGAACCGAATAAAAAATTAAGACCAAGTCGAGTGTGTGACACTCTGTCCTTAAGACAGATTCGCCCCGCTATGGTACTTACGGATGAGTGATGTCTATCTCCCAGGATACAATGATCTTCTCATTCTGATACCAACAGTTCCAACTGTTCACTGTAACGTGCATCAAACAAAGAGGTTCGTCCGGGAGTCGACCGGCCGATCGACCGGTAAGAGCAAATTTGACGTTTTTGCCTTCATTTTTGTTGCTTGAAAAAAATGCTAAGGTGGTCGACCCCGTAGTGTAAAATTTTCACAAATTTCTACTTTAAAGAGGTCATCCGGTTGGACATTCGGCCGAACATCCGGTGGGTCCAGCTCAACGGCTATGCACAGTGAATTGGTGAAAGGGGCAAGCCGTTCTCAGTTTTGTTGGAACAATCTTCTGTGTAAATAAAATAACTTAAAAAAATTCAAACAAAATAAAATAAAACTTACAGAATTTATTTTGTTGAACCGAATCAATAATTTAAAGACCAAGTCGAGTGTGTGACACTCTGTCCTTAAGACAGATTCGCCCCGCTATGGTGCTTACGGTTGAGTGGCGTTTATCTCCCAGGATACAATGATCTTCACAAATTTATAGAAACATTTCAAATAAATTTGTTCGGCGAACCAAACCTATGATCTATACTCTCTTTTATTTATTCTAAAACTAGAATGAAAAATAATGCAAAAGTAGAAAAATCTAGACAACAATGAGATCAAATTTAGACAGATTTTCGGATGTGAAAAATTAGATACAAACCTGCTAGAATAGATGGTATATATAGGCAGAAAAAGTACCGAACGGGTATCAACATAAAGAAGTGAAAAGGTGCAATATTTTCAATTCAAATAATAGTTGACAGTTTTGATCTCAAATTCAAATATTTGAAGTGTTCCGTTAGATGTTCCAAATCTGTAGGAAAATTATTATTTACACTATTTCAAATATATATATATATATATATATTAAACTAATTAAATATATATATATATAAATATAAATATTCAACTATTGAAATAGTTAAATAAATAAATAAATGAAGAGGTACAATCTTTAGCAAACCACTTAGGAACCAAAAATTTGAATTTAGAATTAAATTAAATTCTCACAATTACAAACTTTAGGAAACCACTCAAGAATCTAAAATTTGAATTTTAGAATTAAATTAAATTCCCACAATAATTTTTATTGAAAAAATTCAAATAAATTTTATCTAAAAAATTAATGTTAGATCCGAAAATGACGTTAACTTTCCATTCACTCATAAATAGTTTTGACGTTCCGTCTTCACCGTGTGACTTGTCACGCGGCAAGGAACACGTCACCTCTTCGGACTCACCCCAAAGACGTTTGGGACCCACTCAAATTGAGCTAAAATATATGCCTATATTAAACCATTTTTCCAGCAATGTAAGACTTTCAATCTCAACAGCAGGGAGTTTTTACGAATATGAATGCACACAATTGCAACCATTCAATACCAACACAAAAGACTCGGCTTTTCAACCACTTTGAGAAGCTCGACCTTCAATACCAACACAAACTAACATCTGAAACAAATGTTGATGGTACATAGCACCGTGCTGGTTTCTCAAATACAATACTCACAAACATCTTTTTGACTTAAAATTAATAATAATCCTTGGCAAACAAGAAGCATTTGTTCAAATGATAAATACTCAAATGTATGCAAGTATATTAACCTTAACAAATCATCTTACAAGGTAATGCGACACCCTTCTCTGCTCAAATTGAGTTGTGACTTCTCCTTTCTAACATTTGTGGTGAATGTTTCAGTGCCAAGTGAATAACTCCGAGAAAACCATGACACACTGATCTCACACACAGTCTAGACTCCATAAAATGGAAGCACAAAAGAGATGTCCTGGGCTTGGGATCTTCACTCCGTCTTTATTATTTTGATAGCAGCCAAAAATTTGACTTCCTACAACCAGCAGAATCTTAGCAGTGTCATTCAATCAACATCAAGTGCTGTTGCTGAATTTACGACCAGACATCTTCTCAGATTCGTATAGCATGTGATTTATGAGTCCCCTTGCTGCACTGCAAATCCAAGAAGCAGACATATTAAAACATTGAAATATTAATTCTGTTATTGGTCTTGAGTGCTCACATTGAGCAATTAACCCCAAGGCATACTACTCAATTTACAAGAAGAAAAAAGGGCATCTAATGTTTGTTAGCAGGTGGTCTGATGATTGTCCTACAATCATGCCAGATAAATTTGGCTTAAGAACATAATTAATTAAAAGTAAGGAAGGCTATGATACATATTGAACAGTCTGATAGAAAAACTTGGATGTCTTTTCTAAATAGAATATGGTCTTTGACATCCTAACCTCTGCTTCCCTAGCCACCCTTTAAAAAAGAACAGGTGAACAAGGTAAGATGACACTCACTCATCTTTCAGCTTCTGAATCTTCTCTGAATCTGTCTCATGCATGTGTTTTTTAAACTGCTGTCTCACCATATCAACAACGAGCTCTGTATTATATTGCTGCAGATTAGACAAATGTAAGTACCTAAGCACCAGGTTAAATATCATATTCCTTGCCAAAATTATCGGATAAGGACATTTAAGATGAAGTTAGTTTGACAATATGAACTTAAAAAGAGTCTGAAACATTAAAACTCAATTCAGAGGTATTTGAATTAAGAACCCTTCAACCAATAAAAACACATTGACAAGATGAAAATAATGGTCGGTGACAAAAGGCATGCCAATAAGCCATGCATCAAACCCCTACTTCTGGATTTGATTTTACTTCATTGGCATTGTGGGAAAAAAGAAATTCATGAATTGAATTATTTTATTTTAGTTCTTTTCATTTCATCACTAGAATTCAAAATCCCCTCCAACTTTGAGACAAACATAAATTTCCTTCTGTGTCCTATTTATGGCTTGGGACTAAACCAACTTTATCTAAAGAATAAGATAGGATTCATAAACTAATGAGATGGCCGATGTTTTCTTCTGCTTCCATATTTTTTCTTCCCTAAAACATTTGGAGACCCCAAAAACATGAGGGCTGTATCCCACTCTGGAAGTAAATCTCAAGCCAACAATAATTCCAATTTCATTCATTATAGTTTCCCTCCTCATCCTACAATTTCCATGCCCAGCCTTTGATTCATGCCCATGGAGATTGAGGGTTATGAATTTGCAGAGGAAATGAGGAATGAAAGTTCAGGTAAGATCATCTTAGATGTTGACCTTTATTTTTCTGGAGAAACAAGAGACTAATCTGTTTTCGGTTCAACATCAATGCTTTTACCTTCTGCTGCATTTCACACCTAAAGGGCCTGTTTGATTCTAGTATTAGAGAATAGGATTGGATTGTTAATCCAGTGATATGCACATTCCTACGGTTGAATGACATAAATGATGGTCAGCTTAGCAATACGTAGGACTTCTAATCCCACAAAATCGTGGGATATTCAATACCTATGGAGGCAAGTATTAATAATTCCACACATATTTACCCTACTAATTGAGTTGGACAGTCAATCTAATGGTTAATCCCATGGATTATTAATCCTATCACTATTACTCCAACCAATCAAACAAGCCCAAAGAGTTCAAAGTTGTCTCTTGGGTAAAGCGCATTAGTAACCATCAAGCCAAGCCCACCAGGGATAAAGTTTGTTCCCATTAAAGAAGTTGTTCACGTTGATACGATACTACAAAACTGACTAAAATGAGTGGCTAAACTTCTGAAATATGGGATTGAATTCAAAGATCTGATCATTTCCCACTAGAAGTACAAATCCTCTAGTGAAACTGGAGGCCGGATATGAAATTTAACCTAACCTCATTGTTTAATCCAAAAAATTGAGCTAAACAATAAAAAACCTAATTGATGGAGATAAACAAGAATGGCTATCTGAAAAGCATGGACATTGACACACTGACACTGCAATTTTCAAAATATTCAAGACACAACACAAGGGAGATACATGCAAAATATATGATTTTATATGTTATATATAATATGTGAATGTTTCATTCAAAATTAATAAAACATATAACATAACAGGAATTTCTAAAGCTTGACAGAGTATTGATTAATAAGAATAAACGGACAATATTTTTCTTTTATTAATAGGTCCTAAGTTTTTGTTCAAATTATGTTGTGCTTCATGTGTGTCTAAATACCCACATCCACTTTTTGGTTAAGATTACCATGTGTAAACTTGTGGGTAATTATTCCAAAAAATTAAGCATGAACTGACTATTCAAATAATCCATATTGAGCTAGTTGTGATCAAATTTCTTAAGAAACAACAAAACAATATCAAAGTTGAGAAGCACAATAATAGCTGAAGAGTAAGAGAGATAAGAGAAGAATAATATGTACCCAAGTGCCAATATATTTAGCTCTTCGAAGGCATTCACGGTAAAGCTGCACCCAATAACAGACCCCCCAAAAACAAAAACAAAAAATTGCCTCAGTAATTGGGAAATACCCAATTCAACTATAAAAAAGAAACCCAATCCAACTATAAAAAAGAAATAAAAAAATTGAGACTTGGAATAGAAAATACTAACTCTAATCGCATTGTTGGCGAGTTCAGGAGGCAATGCTGTTTGAAGAGACGGCATGTTCGATTTTGAACCTAATCCCAATTCAACATCAACAAAAACAGATGGGGTTTTGCAGATTAACAAACAACCAACTAGTAATAGTACTAGTCATTTGATTAGTATGAAATGAAGACCGACCTACCTGAAGCTGTTCTGTTCAGTCTCTCACCAAGATAGAGAGAGAGGTAAAGCTGCACCCAATAACAGACCCCCCAAAAACAAAAACAAAAAATTGCCTCAGCAATTGGGAAATACCCAATTCAACTATAAAAAAGAAATAAAAAAATTGTGACTTGAAATAGAAAATACCAACTCTAATCACATTGTTGGCGAGTTCAGGAGGCAATGCTGTTTGAAGAGACGGCATGTTCGATTTTGAACCTAATCCCAATTCAACATCAACAAAAACACATACAAAAACAGATGGGGTTTTGCAGATTAACAAACAACCAACTAGTAATAGTACTAGTCATTTGATTAGTATGAAATGAAGACCGACCTACCTGAAGCTGTTCTGTTCAGTCTCTCACCAAGAGAGAGAGAGAGAGAGAGAGAGAGACGTGTTGTTTTGTGTTGTGTTGTATTGTATTGTGTTGTGAGTTTCGCAACAGGACAGATCTTAGAACAAGTACCCCTCCGTCTCAAAAAAAAAAAAAAAAAATTTGGCATGCCAAAGTGTTGATCTGTTGTGTTGTGTTGTTATCCAAAACGTATTATTTTCCAAAACGTATTATTTTGAACTTGATTATGATCTTTAAGTCAACAACGGTCATGGAAATATATGCACTTGATTACGGAGAATGCTACTTTTTCTCTACATTTATTTCATGTTCTATAACAAAATCAACATCCAGTATCATTTCTTTGAAAGCAGTAAGTGGTGTGATGTGCAAATAAGTTCACTATGCATATGCACTTGATTACGGAGAAAGCATTAAGTGTGGTGGAGTGAGTCGTTGTGCATATGGACTACTCAGTTATTCTCAAAAGATTGAGCTATATGGCATGCCAAAGGACCACTATATTAATATTTTTTACGTTGATGAACAGTTTTTTTGTTTTTGTTTTTCTTTTGGATTAGGAGAAGGGAATTTAAAAATTTGAGCTCAAATTGATGATCCAAGTGATCCAAGTGAATTTTGACTATACCATTACTTCTGCTCGTGGATCACTTTTGGTCTTCAAATAAAATAAAGCAGAAGTTTTAATTAGGCTGATGATGTCTTGTAAAATATACATACTAACATTTCATTTATTTTTAATTAGGCTGATGACTCATTCGTTTGGGGTAGTTGTTTTGTAATAATATTATTAATTTTGAAAAAGGTTGAGAATTTAATGCATAAAGAGAGAAATGATGTCAAATATTGTTTAAAGAATGTCCATATATGCGAGATTAAAGAATGTCCATATATTAAATTAACCTTTAATAGTCATCTAAGAGAGATTAAAAATAATGAGTTGCACAAACCAAACCTAAAAGAAATCAAAATTAATGAGTTGCACAAACCAGACCTAAAATAATGAGTTGCACGAACCAGACCTAAAACAAATTAAAAAGCACGAATACAGTTCATTAATGAAATTGTCAGGCTCACGAATATAGTTCCAGCAATTTTCAGAAAAGCACTAAAAGAAATCAATTATAAAGGTATGTCCATATACAATTAGGTGGTCAATTTCTATCAATGCCAATAGCTTTGAATTTATTCCTACAAAGAAAAATACATCCAATTTGACATACCTTAGCATAAAAATTGGGATAAATGCAGGTTACACCATTCCAGCTGGTTGGGCGGTTATGGTTTGTCCTCCATCTATACACTTGAACCCTGCCAAATATAAAGATCCCCTTGACTTCAATCCATGGAGATGGGAGGTAAATTGATTATTCCAGAATTACATGCTTTCTATTTTATTTACTATTTGATTTTTACCCACAATCCGTTAATTGCTAACAGCATACTGAATTCTCATATCTTATTAAAAAAATGAATAAATGAATGATATACAGGGAATGGAATTTAATGGTACATCCAAACATTTAATGGAATTCCAACAGTGCTCTCAACTTAACATTGCAGCTTAGAATGCCTTTCATCACAAAATGACTTGCAATGAACCTCCTGATTATCATCACTGTATCTACTAATATACTGTATGTGGCAGCTAAAGTAGAAAAACAAAAGAAAAACACAACATTTCCTTCAGTTCAATATGTATATAACACAAAAGTAATTGCTAATCAACACTACAATATCACATAATCATTGAAAAACCCTGAGTTGATTATATGTTGTTTTTAAGCTTTGAGAATATAGGTTAGTTGTTTGTCTTTGGTTTTGACACATTAAATACAATGATTATCAATCACATAGTGTGTTCATCAACAACCACATGTTAAAAATAAAATAAAATAACAAAGAATATGAATCGTCAAATAAGCTCTTTTCCAGCTGAAATTTGCAATTTTTTCAGGTACCCATTAAAAAACAAAACACTGAAGATCTCAAATTCAGCAGCTAATATGAATTGGGAAAGAGGGGAATTTGGGGAAACCTTCGTATTGACTTTTGCTGCTACAGATCGGCTAAGAACGATGAACTCAACTTCCACTTGAGTTCAAGGGGAAAAATTGGGATTGAATCAGAGACAGATTATTAACTCTTTAACATCCTGCAAGTTGCAAAAATGGCAGAACAGAGAATTACATAGATGAAACTCCCTAGTTACTCTGTTTTCATGCTGAGAAAGAGTAAGAAAGATAAAACAAGGTCTATAATCTTTCATCTAATTCTACAATTGCATGAACTTTAATCTCCAATTTCAACTACCCAACCAATTATTAACTCTCTATCATCATGATGGTCCGAAAAATGATAGAACAGAGATTCACAAAGATAAAAATCCTAGTTAATCTGTTTTCTTGTTGAGAAAAAAAATCCATAATCTTCCATCTAATTATACGATATTCGTACATTTTCATCATTCCAATGCGTGTGAAAGACAGTAAAACAAAGACCAGGTCACAAAGATGACAACCCCAGGTCCCTGTTTGGTTGCCGAGAAAAGGGAAGAAAAACCCACAATGTTCTTGATCATTGCATGCAAGCTAATTCATCAGTAAATGTTCATAAGTGCATCTACAAACATGCAAAAATAAATTAACCCAAAAAATCAATCATCAACTAGGCATTTGCCCATATGGGTTTCTCAATCAGACCCAAAAACAAAGCAAAAATAGCCGAAGAACAAGAGAGAACGAGAGAGAGAAACGAGAGATATAACTCACCACGCTGGAGAACTGTGTTAAGCGCCAACGAGATCGCCGGAGAACTCTGATCTCTAGCTGCTTTCGATGCTGGAACTCTGATCGGGAGTGGGAGTGGGAGTGAGGGAGTGAGAAAACCCTAGCTGTAAACAGGATGTCAAAACATACGGAGAAATGAGCTCGATCCATTCCCCGATGGAGAATTAACCCACTGACCCGATGGATAGAAAAATAGGGAAACTCACGTATTTCGGGTAGGATATCCATTGTAACCATTAGGATCGGTTTCTATTATCATCCCTAGATACGAAAGGATCTGACCACACGAAATTTTCTGTCTAATTTCACAAAATTTAAAAACGTAAGATCATAAGATATACTATTAAAATTTTATACTAGAATTAAATAATTAAGTATTTGAAGATGTGCGAAGAGAGATTTGAGATCTGATTGGAGGGCCAATCTGAAAGGCACGTGTAATTAAAATTAGGGGTGGGCGCGGGTCGGTTGCGGCCATGAAACCTCCAATCCGCCATCCATCCGTCAAATTGGCGGATTGGAGAAAATCAATCCGCATCCGTCCGCTAATCCGGCGGATGTGGATTGAGCGGATTGGCGGTTTGGCGGATGGATGCGAATCGGTTTGGCGGTTTGAAATTTTATAAATTTTCAACTTAATTCAACTTGTGCATTTCTTGAAAAAAAAAAAGAAAAAAAAGTATCACAGTCAATGACTTAAAAAAGTATTACAATTATTACATGCATCATCCAAAGAAAGAAAGTTTGAAACTTTAGAATATCACAATCAATGCATGTCTCATCCACATATTACAATCACAGTATGCCTCATCCACATAAATTAACAAACATGCAAAAATAAATTAACCCAAAAAATCAGTCATCAACTAGGCATTTGCCCATATGGGTTTCTCAATCAGACCCAAAAACAAAGCAAAAATAGCCGAAGAACAAGAGAGAACGAGAGAGAGAGAGAAAGAGAAACGAGACATATAACTCACCACGCTGGAGAACTGTGTTAAGCGCCTACGAGATCGCCGGAGAACTCTGATCTCTAGCTGCTTTCGATGCTGGAACTCTGATCGGGAGTGGGAGTGGGAGTGGGAGTGGGAGTGAGAGAGTGAGAAAACCCTAGCGGTAAACAGGATGTCAAAACATACGGAGAAATGAGCTCGACCCATTCGCCGATGGAGAATTAACCCACTGACCCGATGGATAGAAAAATAGGGAAACTCGCGTATTTCGGGTAGGATATCCATTGTAACCATTAGGATCGGTTTCTATTATCATCCCTAGAAACGAAAGGTTTTGACTACACGAAATTTTCTGTCCTATTTCACAAAATTAAAAAATGTAAGATCATTAGTTATATTAAAATTTTATACTAGAATTAAATAATTAAGTATTTGAAGATGTGCGAAGAGAGATTTGAGGTCTGATTGGAGGGCCAATCTGAAAGGCACGTGTAACTAAAATGATCCTCTGGCGCTGTTGGTGTTGTGGGCCAACCAAACTTACGAATTATAAAGAAGTGTTTTGAAAAGTTGATAAAAAATTAATTTTTTAATTTTTTTAGTGATTTTTTGGTAAAAAATTGGTTTTTTTTTATTAAAAAATTTGACTTTTTGATCAAAAAAAATTAAAAAATTAATTTTTTTAACTTGTTGCCAAAATGAGCCAAAGCATGAATGAGAAAGATTTGATACAAAGCTTACCAGAGTTCCAAAAATCAAGAATTCACATGCTAGTGTACTATTGTTTTTGTTCTCAAATAATAATTTCAACATGTGTATGTATGTACGTACGTGCACACTCTCTCTCTAATTGAGGTGAGAAAATGTAGATGTGACACGTGTCAATCGAGACGGGTAAGACAATGGCCCAATTTAGTAGAGTTGTAGGAAAGTGATTATAGATCACAACTTAACAGATTATATCTTATAGCTGTGAGTATAAGCTGGTAACCTGTTTAGTGTAACTGTGGGATTATAGATTTAAGCAACAGAGTAGTGTTTGGTAAATAAATTGTAAAATAGCTTTTTGCTGTGTAATTATCATTTTTGCCCTAATGAACAGAAAATTTCTAATTTTGTCATTTCCTTCTCTTTAAATTTTGAAAAAATTATTTCATTAATGGAAGTTGATTAATTAGTACCTAATTCATTTACCTCAAATTTATTTTTTAATTAAATTTTTTTTTTAATAATATTGAGTTGACAAGGGAACAAAAAAATATCATTGCAATAAAAATATAATAAATTACTATTAAGGCAATAAAAATAAAACTTCCTACATATTTAAAGATCTCCTAATTTCGTCTACAAATTGACATACAAATATTATGTCTCCTCACTTCCATCTCGTTGTCATCACAGTCAACATCATTTCCATGACATGCTTGTTAAGACGAAGATCCTTCCTCTTCATTAGGCACATAATTCCGTGAATCTATCATAAGAGTCAAATGCAATATCGCAGAACTCACTTCGTCGGATGAAATTATGAATTGCCATTGTTGCACAAACAAGTTTGACTTGGGTTGCCCACTTGTAGTTTGGTGGGATATCCTTTATCATTGGCCATCTTATTTTCCAAACCTCAAACGTTCTTTCTATTACACTTCTAAGTGATGAATGTGCTTGGTTAAATTTTTCTTGTGCATTTTGACGAGGTTGACCATGTTCAAATTGAGCTAGATGGTATCTCTCTCCTTTGTAAGGTGCAAGATATCCTTTCATGTTTGGATACTCAGCATCCACGAATATTTTAAAATTGCAAAATGAAATTAAAGTAAGCAATTATAAATGTAAAAATAAATATGGAGATGTGAGTGTGGTGCATCTACTGTACCAATCAAATATAAAACAGTTACCTCCTTGTGGTTTTGAAAAATTATGACTAGGATTTCTAATTGTATCCAAGAGGATCCGAGTATCGTATGCACTTCATTCCCATTCTGGTAAGCAAAATGTGAAATACATATCAAAGTCATATGTGGCCATTATGTTTTGAGTTGCATACCCCTTTCTACCTATTAAATGAGGTTGCTTATCTGGAGATATATATGCTTTGATGTGTGTTCCGTCAATTGCTCCAATACAATCTTATTACAAAATAGTTCATAAAATTATTTTTAGTCACTGATTATTAGAAATATCCGATCAACATTATTATATGTAACACCTAAGTTCTATTTGTAATTATTTTTTTACCTTGAAATGAGGATAATATTTGCGTTTGCTTCGAATATATGGATGCACACCATTTCTCAATTGAGGTCTTACCCAATCAATAGACATCATTGTAACAGCTTTTAACACCTTCTTGAAGTATTTGGAAATAATCTCGCCGAAATGTTGAAATCTTTCTTGGGTATTTCTGTTTCAAATATCACCGCCAACAATATACAAAAATATTACAACATGCTCTTAAACCGAGACTTTTCGTCCAGTTTCAAGGCCATACTTTGTCTGTAACAAATTACACAATTGATAAAATACCTCTTTTTTCATTTGAAAATTTTCAAATATTCTTGTCCGATTCCCTTCTTGTAATTCTACCATCCACTTCCCCTTTGTTAAACTAGATGTCCTAATGGTTCTTTTATCAAATAATTTGTCGCATATGTCACTGCAACTGTTGCCGCCGTAACTAAGAGCATATTAATATGTTGTTGGGTTTGTAATGTGCTGTCTTCATCTTCAATATCTTCATTATAGTGATCATCATTCCATTCGTCATTACTGTTACTCATCTCCAAAATATCTACCCATTTAAAGGTTTAGTTACTATTACAAGAATGATCTTGCTTTTTTGTAATTAGATTTTAGTCCAAATTAAGCATTATAAATAATCATGACTTCACGAAAAATAGTTTTTATGATTTTTTTGTTCAATTTTTTATATTTAAATGCATCCTTAGAATTAATATATTAATGATTAAATTAATGGTGGCGGAAAGTGGGGGTGGTGTAATGGTGGAGATGATGGTAACATTAATAAGAATTTAATGTGAAAAATATTTTTCATATTTAAAAAATAAAAAACATTTTGCATTACCCATAAAAAATATTTTTTTATTAATTTTTATTTTTCATTACACTGAATTTTCAACATAGAGTCACTGGATATTGGAACACTTAAGTGCATACTTTTTTTTAAAAAAATATACAAATTAGATTGTATTTTAGGTGCTAATCCAACTAAGTTTTGATACATACCATCCAATTTATAATTAACTTAAAAACGTTAGCTGAAGATACTCCATTTCACCCATCAAATTAATAAAGAGAGAGAAGAATTGTGATTATGAATTAACTCCTATCATCTTTATTTTCAATGTTTTCTTTTTGTTTTCGAAAAGAAAAATACTGATAAGTTCAATCACCCCTACCTATTGTTTCACATCATTTTATTTTCTGCCAAACAAAAAAAAATTTGAACTTCTTAAAGTATTTCTTAAAAAAAAATGCATATTTTTTAAAGGTTCATCATGGATGAAGTATTTTTTCTAAAAATACTTTCTCATATCTGTTGTTTGTTTACCACATATAATGCACTAATGAAAATCTGACCTCACTCTTTTTTTTTTTTTTGGCTTTGACAAATATCTTCTGCATGCAGATTGATTAGTGATCCAATTTGGGGTTTTATTCTGTTTAATTGCATGTTAGATACAAATGATTTTGATGGATAAAACAGCAAGCAAATTTAAATGTAATAAAACAACAAGCAAATTTTTGTTAGATGTAATAAAAATGATCATTAAAAATAGCAGGCAAATTTAACTTCCTAAAATTTTAACTTCAATGAACATAGCAATACAGCAGCACCAGTTTGAAATGCAAACCAGAATGACCTCCAAATTTAGCACAACAACAACAACAAATGGAAATTCAGCACAGTAACAGATGGACATTCAGTACAAAAAATAAATACAGCACAACAAGCATAAGGCAATTCAACCTTTCTCATAATAATACCAGTTGGAAAACATCTACATATATATAAAAGTCTTTACCATTCACCTACTATTCATATTCAAAATTGAAACCAACCATTCAACCATTCAACTAACATTCAACCAGTCAATCATTCACTTACCATTCAACTAAGAATATGTCACCTACTCAAATATTAATAATAATAAAAATCCAACATAGTCAATATTAATCAAAGTTCAACAAAATATTAATAAAAGTCCAACATAGTCAACAATATCCATCAAAGTCCAACAAAATATTAATAAAAGAAAAAAAATAATGAGTTTAACACAACAGTCCATCTAAAAAACAATTAGCCGTGATAACATGTGGTGGTCTTCTCCATCTTAATCTCCAACTTTAGAAACCTCAACCGAACTTCATCCATAGGAAGACTCATGAAGAACTCACGACGCTTGTCTTGTAAGAACAATCTAGCAGCCCATACATACAGCTCATCATTCGGGGACACACCAGGGATGCTTTCCAACATCGCCAAACATTCTGCAATTGAATGATATCTTGATGAGGTCTGTGTTGAAGTTGCTGAAGATGACTCAACCACATTGACTATACGATCAGGTGTCTTGTTCAGTAGAGCGGCACTAGTAAATTTCTTCTTTGTCTTGCTCTTGGTTGATGAACCATCAATGTTTGATGACTATTTTTTGTTTAACTCGGAAGGATGAACCACTTCCAAATCAGCATCATCATGAAATTTAGCATCATGTGGAGTATGAAATTCCTCCGGAGTCTCATCAGTGTGAGGCATTACCCTGAGCTAGGAGTGTATGTCCATTCTTCTGTAGCCAAGGTTCTGAAAAGCGGTTGCGGTCGCCGTAACGGTGGCGGTGATGCAGTTGCGGTTGCGGGGTGTAAAGGCCATAGTGTAACGGTTGCGGTAATCGGAACCGTGAATTTTTTTATTTTTCGCACAATTTGAAAAAAACTTACCAATACGCATATTTTTTTTCCATGATCATATTTATTGGGTTAAAAATAAATATTGATCAATTTTTACAAATTTTTAAGTATGATCCATTATATTTCATATTTCTAAATCACTATAAACTGAGTTTTTTACATTTTATTTTAATAATTAATGACTTTATATTATACAAAAAATCAATCACTAATTATTATATATAAGATAAACAATGACAAAAGTAAGAGAATAAATAAAAACCTAAATATATATATATATATAAATATTTTAACCAAGCCAAATAGATAATGACCACACTTATTATTATTATTATTATTATTATTATTTTCAAACAATATATAGATAGACACACACAAATAAAATGATTTAGTGATAGCAGCTGAATAGAATAGCATAGGGCTTACAGTTTCAACAAATCAATAATATGTTCTTCATCTTCCATTTTCTCTTTCTATCTGTTGCTCCTCCATTTTCTCTCTTTTATCTTCCCTCTTCTTTCTATCCCTCTTCCCCCATTTTCAGTTTTTTTTTAGTGTTTTTTTTAAAGAAACAGTTTGGAACCGTTACGCAACGGTGCGTAACAGGCCGTTATGGCTGTTACGACACCATTACGACCGCTACGGCAGCCGCTACAGCCGTCACACCTGTGAATCTCAATCACACTGCAAAAGCGGCCGTAACGGGTGGCGGTAACCGCCAAAACCGTTACGTAACGGCGTTACGTAACGGTTGTGGCCGCTTTTTAAAACCTTGTCTGTAGCTGCTGCATCTGAGAATAGTATGTTTAAGTCTTTAGTGAATTGCAACGGTATACGTCGGAATTTAGCAGCATTAGGATACCTCTGCAACAATTACAAAGTAAAATTTAACAATTTCAAGTAACAAAATTTGGTGTATTTAAACAAAAAACAAACAAAATATGTATATTAAGCAATTCACGTACCTCAAATTTCTTGGTCCACCACTCATCAGATGCAGATATAGCTCCAGTCAATGTATCACGACCTAAGCCTGTCTCACCCCTTAACATATTATTCCTTAAAAGCCAATCTTTTTTCAACACATCCCAATGATTTTCATTTGTATTCGTTGGTATGCTTTTCCAGTCATACTTTTAAACTTAGTTATCACATTTTCCCACCCGACCCTATCTAAGTGTGTACCAGGTCTACGTCCAACCTTCACTTGCCCAACACAAAGCTTAATAAAAATTTCATTTGATTTTGCATCCCAATGAGCTTTAACGGATGGTACTTGACTTGATTTTCCCTTGTTCTTCCTATTTTCAGACTGTGTTTCCTCTTGGGTACTCATTCTATGAAAGAAAAAAAAATTGTTTAACACATACTCATTAATCATTGGTTGCATTAAAACATAAGAATGGTCAGGAATATCCCTACCTGTGCTCCAGAGCTTGAGGCTTGCTTTGCAACTTCATCCAGAAAATTAGTTGGAATGAAATTTTTTTGAAATAAATCCAAAATTTAAGCTTTTCAAAAAATCCAGAAATCACAGACAAACAAATCAATTCAATGGAAATTAACCACTAGTGAAAAAGTAAATAACGCAAGTAGTGCAGATAGTGTGGGAAACACAAAACAACCTTGCAAAAAGGGTACTGAAACCTCTCCTCCACCAACTCTCAAGACATTCTCCTTCAAATCAATTATGCACTGCAACCAGTAGCTATTTAGAACTAACTATTTAACCACTCTGGATTTTGGAGAAAGTCATAAATTTAAACAGCTTGAAAGAATAACCATGTTACCTGGTGCTTACGAAGCATATCCAGCCCAAAAAGGAAATCCATATTAGGAGAATCCAAAACCACGAAGGAACAAGGGTAAAACACATTCCCAATCTAAAAATGTTTTTTTTTAAAAAAAAAAAAAAAGAAGAAAGAAGAAAGAAACAAAGATAAAATGTTAGCATACAAGTTTACAATAGTACAAAAAAGAGATACTAAACTTTCATCTCGCATAGTAAAGAATTTTTTTTAAAGAGAAATCAGATACATGTCATATATTCATCAACATATTTCAAACTAATAATAACCTGTAAGGCTAAGAGCGCACAAATGAGAGATGTGCTTCCCTGTAATTACAAACTAAAGGTAAGCACAATATTTTTCCACACCTTGCTTACACACACAGAACATACAAAGCATGGGGTAAGGAAAAAGAGGAGAACCTCCAACTACTGAAGATGACACATGAATTGCAGGCAACAACAAAATATAGATTGTCACTAAACCAAGTACTCAAATATTTCCCAATCAGTAAACTATGAAACATTTGAATAACAAGAAGTCAACAGGTGTCAAACATGCTCTCCATTTTCACACTTAAATGTACTTTGAGAGAAGTATAACAAATAGAAAAGCAAAACACATCAGATTATCCATAAACACGAGTAAGCATGCCTGCACATATGTTACATAATTGAGATATGTCAAATTGGCTTCTTATTTGGGGTGCCACCTAAACAATTGTTACTGGTTTTCAAAGGATTAAATCATGAGCAGTAACATCTCATCTTTAAAACTTTCTCACCACAAGATTGACTTTCCAACAGTGTGCAACAAAGCCCTTCACATTTTTCATTAATGATGCAGAACTACATTGTTGGCTTGGATGGTAAATTGGCTTGGATGAATTGTCAACCCAGACAAGATTTTCAAACATTTATGAAATTATTTGTTCATGTCTTAAGGAGAAAGGTAAAATTAAAACAAAATATAATATTACAAAAAATAAAACATTTTAGGAACATTAAACCCAAACTGTTCTACAACTGTAGCATCTATTTAAGAATGAATCATGATATCCACCTCACAAGCTGGGTTCAAATTCTAGAAGATCCTTATCAACAAAACCATGAAGAACATAAAGACGTAAGCATCAAAGATTTAGATTCAAACCTAAGCATTAAGAAGTTTGAGATAATCCAATGCCTCTCATATATTTTGAACTTCCTTTTTGTTTTTGACAGGGTAAAAATGCCAAAGATAAAGGATGTTGAGGGCAGATTTGATTTCCTATTGGTAGAATGCAAGTTTAACTAGATTAAGGATGTTGATGTGCTTTAGTGGCAGATAATAAGGGGATTGCATAAACATAGAAAACTACATGAACTGTGGATAATAATTAATAAGTAGGATTAGGTAACCACATGAGCATATAGATGAGATCAAATCCAATAAACATGTCTAAGGTAAACCATAATTACAGAAATCTTAAATAACCTAAATATCAAAATTAGTGCAAACACTGAACATGGTCTAAAATTTGATCAAAAAGTAAGAGACCCAGATGATCAAAACCCAAATATATGCACGAGAAGATCAGAGAACCCATAATAGCAAACATAGCAAAACGTTTATTAGATATGGGTAAAATCCAAATTATAAAAAGAAAATTATTCAGATAAATATAAAACATATATGAGACTACATGAACAAGAAACCAGAAACCAAAAACCAAAATCGATGTATTGCCTTCATGAACCAGAAAGAGGGGTACTCTACATGAACCAGAAACCAAAATCGATGAGAGAGAGAGAGAGAGAGAGAGAGAGAGCAACCAGAAACCAAAAACAAACACAAACAAAAACCCTAATCGGATTTGAACATAGAGCAACCAAAACTCAAAAAAACCTTAAATCGATGTGTATATCTAATATATATATCTATATATAACAAAACATAGGGTTTAGGGTTTTAAATCTTACTTTTTGGTGGAGATCAACAAAAAACAGGGATGATCGCCGGCGATCTTTGATATGTGAAGCAATTCTTCGTTGTTCGGCAACAATAGGAGAGGAAAGGAGAAGAAAAGAGCGCCGTTTGAGAGGAGAAGTGTACCAAACACACCAATATAGCTTAATTTATGCCAAAAGCTGCTTTAAGCTGAAAAAAAGTGTTACCAAACTGGCACTAAATATAATTATTATTTCATATCAATATAAAACTTACAAAGATGACACTAACTTCTTATAAAAGAGTTGTATATATAATTTTCTGATCCATTTTTGTATTAATAAACTCTTTCTTTATGTTTTTTGATTTTTGTATTAATAATTTTTTTTTTCTTTCTTTCTTTCAATCTATGGCAAATTTTTTTTTGACCAAGTTCAGAATTCAAAAATGTCCATTGAACTTGTAGGGTGAGTGCAATGACTGCACAACTTGAGAAGAAATGTAGTTATTTCAAAAGTTGTTCAAGCTTGAATTGTATATTTCATTTGGCAAGAGAGAAATGCAAGACTGTTAATTTAATTGATCTAGTAATATCAGTTAGTTTTAGGAGATAGTGAAATTTGATCTAGTAAGGGAATCAATGTCAAGTTGTCATCGCTCTTTGGGGGTATTTGTTTCAGCTTTTCAAAGCCAACTTATGACTTTTAGCTTTGAAAAAGTTATTTTGAACTGTTTGGTTAAACTTATTTCAAACAGCTTCTGATTCTAACCGCTTATTTTAACCAACACCACTATCATATTCTATACATGCCATTATCTACCACCAACACCACTATCATATTCTATACATGCCATTATCTACCACCAACACCACTATCATATTCTATACATGCCACTATCTACCACCAACACCACTATCATATTCTATACATGCCACTATCTACCACCAACACCACTATCATATGCCACTATCTTATTATATGCATTAAAACAAATTTCCAGCATATATATATATATATAAATATTTATTGTGAGAATGTAGCTATATGTTTGTACATGATCATCGTCTGTTTATTCTTTCCGAGTAGGTTCAAATGCAACAAGATAAGTAATAGCTTTCTCTTATGTTTTCTAGTGAATATATATATATATATATCTATATAACATAAAATATATTACTTAATTATCTTATTAGCTAGTTTTTATCTGTTGTGATAAGTAATGCTAGAGATCTACATTTAAGACCTCCAAATACGCCCAATGTGGCAAGGAAGTAGAACCCTATATGATTGAATGTGTGACAAATCAAACGTTGACATCTATCATTCCACATTATTGTGGGTGAAATTGTGAAGATTTTATTGGGATCTCAAATATTTTCTGCATATACCTAAGATGTTTCGGTGTGCACTTTTAAAATATATCATATTATGTGCATCTTATCATAAGTAATATAATTATAACACTATAACACTCTCTAAATTGAAATGAAATATTTTTTATATATTAGAGATTAAATTGATATAATTTAAATATTAAGAATCAAAATAATATAATGGTCATATTTAGGAACCTCACAACTAGTGTCATGTGTGGCCTTAACATTCATTATGAAATTTATAATATTACCATGTTTTTGTTGGCTTCTTATTGTTCCAATCAATTTGTTTGGATGCAGTGTCCACCACAAGACTTTGGTCATGGGTTCTATCGCAGTGTGGAACTGTAATTTGTGTGCTTTTAAAGAAAGACAAAGGCACTTTTGTTATGAATCCAAACACGGAGAAAAAAAAAAAAAAACCAACCGTTGAAACAAATATTAATGAGGGAAAAAAATGTAATTTAGTATACGAAACTCTTATTAATGCAAAGTTTGAGAAGTGCTAGATTTATAGTCTTAGTCACAATTTTGAAGATGTTTTATGACTCGAATCTACATAATTAGAAATGTTAACATTCAATTTTGATTGATAAAAATGAGTAGTTGTGGACCAACTATAGCAATTCTTCATAAGTGTGATTAAAAGAGTCCCTACCCACTAGGGAGCTAGACAAGAGGGACATAAACGAGTTTGACAAAGTGACTGAACTGCAAATGTTCTTTCAAGATGGGCTTGAATCATAGTTTGACCTCAGCTCCACTAGGATCCTAAGAAGTAAAGGTTGAGAGGAGTGGTAGATAAGAATTGTGTCATCTCTATAAACTAGAAATAATATTATAATTTGCTCAACAAACTCAAATGGAAGTGAACTCACTTGTTAAGCTATACACAATACTTTTTTGTTATCAAATTAAAAATCGTGAATGGAATCAAGAATCGTAACATTCTAACAACTATGATACAAAGAAATATAAGAAGTAAACAAATCCAAAGCTAGTTAGGAAAAAGACAGAAATAATTAGATGGGGGAAGAAATGTGAAAAACAGATTTCTTTTAAAGTACAACCAAAGGCCCACCCTCAAGAAATAGATAATAAGTGACCCAAGTGACATGAACTCTTTCAACTTCTCCCAATGTACCCATGTCCACACGACATGACAAAGGTAAGAGTGTGAGATATGTAGCTCATGACTCATTAGCTTGCTCAGCAAAAGAATCAGCAAAAGAATCCATTAAACAGTGGCTTCACATCGCATGTCAACTAACTATAAGAACTATATTACAGGAATGCAACTGCATTTTACAGGGAAAAAAAAAAGTTTCAGAAAAGGGAAAGCGACACTTTTTTTAGCACAAATGACAGGATGGAGTCAAGAACCACCTTAACACAGCAACATATAGTCATAATTTTGCTTAAAGAAGTTGTATTTATTATATTTTCCAATTGTTTCCCAATGCTTTGCTGCATTTACACTTGCCTATCAATATTTCTCTGATACCACATGCCAATTGGTTATGTTTTCTCGAAAGGACAAGTCAAAGACATTAGGATAGATACTTCCCTAATGTAATATCATAGATGAGCAAAATCCATCAAAGCCAAGGTACATCAAAGCCAACTCCACCAGAAAGCACAATAATAGACTGGTCATCCAATGTACTTTTGTCCAACTAACTGAAGAAGGGACAAATCATACATTCAGCCTATCAATACTTTAAGAGCCACTAGAAAAATAAGCAATGAAAAAAGTTCCACAAGAACATCCATGTAGAAGGAAAATTCAAAACAAAGCATAGTATAAGTTAATAATCCCCATTCCCAAGTGCCTGAACTAGAATACGT